GATTTATGTAAGTATTTACACAGCTTTATCTGGTGTATTACCACAAATATGAAACATCCTTTTTGAGTCAAAGTTACAAAATTATTAATGGACAACAAAATGTAATAAATCGAACAAAAGTCACTTAAATATGATTCAAATTTACTTATTGGCCACCATCAGCTTCATAGCAAGTTACTTAATATTCATAGAATTAGTATTATAATTATTTGCAAATACATAAAGGGCGACTACTATATAAATAGTATTTAATATACCTGGAGTTATCTCCTTTGAGAAATTGGATCATTATAATATAGATTATTCAGATAATCACAAATGCTGATCCAACACTTTTACTTAATTGAATAGTTAATTGCTTTATTTTTCAAGTTAGTGTATTTTCACTATATTGCTTTAACAAAAATTGCTCTATGATGTGCCATTCTTATTCTGTTACAAACCCACATTGGGCCATTATTATATAGACAGGTGAATTGTCAGTTGCTTTTTGATTTCAATTTTTTATTTTCAATTTTACTTACAGTAGTCATACCTTCTTCAGGTAATAATTTATCTATTACTAAGTACTATTATATTGCTGTGCCCTACACTGTATGGTACTAGAGTGTTCTTGATCAATACAAAAAATAAGTATAGTCCAAAATATAAATCAAAATTGAATATTAACAACTGATTTGAAAATATCAAGTGAAAAATATTATACTTTGTTATAAACTAATATACAAGTACATAGATGAACAATACTCATTTACAGTACGAATCTATTGAACAATCAACTGGCATCAAACAATAGGTAAATTTGAATGTCAGCAACATTCACCAGTCTTTATTGATTTGAAATTTGAATATGCACACACACACACACACACACACACACACACACACACATATATATATATATATTATAATAATAGTGTGAGTCTATTCAAAAGATCTTGTACAAGCTAAATAGACACCAAATGTAGAATATGGGATTAAAAAAATAAAAACAATCAAACTCAAAAAGAACACAAGTTTCACTGTTATTAACTCATCAGACCATACAAGTAATCTCAATATATTTATTATATATATATATATATATATATATATATACAGATGGATTGGCTCTTGGGATCACAAGGACATGCAAGCCCTCTACCTTGACAAGGAACATCCATATATATTTTACACTGGATTTCAAAGTGAACAATTCATTATCAAATGTACCACTTTGACATTATTACTTTAATGACAGTAATAGAAATGAATGAATAAATAAGAAAACAATAAAAGTATAAAATTATCATTAAATATATGAGAACATTTTTCCTATTGTTATTACTAAAAATAAATATTTGAGAGATAAATAATAAAGGAAGAAATTGACTCTTGAACCGATAGTAAAATAAAAGAAAAAAAAGAGTTCTAGGGTCACCCATGGTAGTAAGGTCGAGAAGAAGGGACCAGATTGAACAAGACCAACCACTGAAAACCCCAATGGCAGAACAGGCAAAGATCTACATGTTCTCAACAGCCAAACTGACAGAAGAGGGCAGTACCAGTTGGACTGGCATAACCAAGGATCACTTTGACAGACTAAGCATCCCACAGCCTGATGCAACCAGGTTTGCCAGATCTTGCCTGTCTCAATCCACTTTGAGCCATGAAGGAGGTACTTTTGTCCAATTGTGTGGGCTTCTCTATCACACAGTTGTCCACCAAAATCAAATACATGTGAATGGCCTCACCAAAATCTCTTTGATTCACAGCCATCTCTGCCACTGCCACCAGGGGTGGGGGATGAAATAGGAAGAGAGTATGATGATTCCAATGCTCGGATGCATCAAGGTAAATTTTAGACATGTCATTGGCACAAATGCAATATTTGACAACACAAAGCAGCTTCAAAACTATTGATCTGTAATGGTAGAAAAACATTTTTAAATGAACAAAATGTAAAGTCAATCATAGCAGTTATGGGAATTTTATATCTGCACTCGTCTCATATGGCACTGAAAGAATTAAATGAAATCATTGTTTCTTGATTTTTACTCAGTGTAACTTAGTATGGCACAAGATCATATGGTATAGAAAATATTGTCAAGCCAATCTTCCAAGTGAGAAGAGGCTGTTGACTGATGAAATCACCTTATTTTTTTTACCTGTGCTTGAAGACCAACTGAGAGGAAATATATTATGATTTCAACCATGTATGAGTCTACTTCTGTAGATCATTACAGATTGTTCAGTTGTCACTAGTTATCAAATACTTATGATCTCATGCATCTTAATACATTCATGTATATGCTTAAATATACTTGTTTCAATAACAGAATATACAGGTATATTTATAAATCTGGTTTCCCTATATTCAGTTATATCACAAGTAACCACACCTGTGTAATAATTATCAAAAACATTGACTCAATTAATAGCATCTTCTTTACTCAGCAAATGCAGCATAAATTCCACAGATAAATTTATATTTATTCATATTTTGCATTTTCTTTAGCCAAACAGTAAAATTCTATTTTTACTTGACATTGGAAATCTGTTTTTTAATGTTATTGTTAATGATATCATCAACATTATTATATCACATATTTATAACCATCCCCTTCTAACATTTTATGAGAACTACTGCAAGCATGTACCACACAAGTCCTCTTCTATGATGACCTAGGAAACATATAGACACAAACTAATGGCATAGCCATGGGATATTCCCTTGGACCTATTTCTCTAGCTATTATATGGCACACAATCGAAAATGAATGTTTTAACACAACAGATAAACTCTCATCTGGTAAATCAACAATATATTCCTTCTTGTAATGTGTGCCTGTTTAATTTTGTATTGTATTTTTCCAGTTTTCAAATAAGATGGACATCTGGACTGAAATTGTGGATGAACTGGCCAAAGTTTGTCTTTAGTTTTGTTTTTTGTTTTTATTTTTGCTTTTGACCATCTCAGTCATTATCAAGAGCTAGGTGTTGTCACTGTGACATATATATATATATATATATATATATATATATATATACTTTGCCATTAACTGTTAATTTCCAGACTATTTGAAAATGCTAGGATGGGATAAAAAAATGTGAAAGAGGAAACAGTAAATATGTAGGAAAGCTAGAGAAAAATGAAAAAAGCTGATGAAGGAAAGATTTAAGGGATGGAGACTGAAAAAAGGCAGGTTTTTCTTATTCTTTTAATGTTTTTATGTGAGTGAAACTTTCATATTTTTTCATTTTGGAGCCTGATTTTACATATACAGACATTCAGTGATACAATATATATTATTCAAACTTTAAATCTTACTCAACAGTCCTGTAAATACAGGTATCAAACAGGTATTTTCATTTTTCATTGTTTAAGTTAGGAGTAGAATCCCTCTTGTTTGTCTGCAAGTCATTCTGGTGTCAAGCAGCACTTGTTTCCTGTGATTGAAGTAGAATTGTCATAGAGTGGGGAATTCAGACTGGAGATGAGGAGATGAACTTTGATGCTTGTTCAGTGATTGGTCACTGTCACTTGTCACATCAGGAATGACATTTAAAGGTAGGGGTTGCTTTTGTTGTTGTTGATGGTGGGTGTGGTTTGACGGGAGTAGAGGGAGTGGAATTAAACTCATACAATCCAAAATGGCCGCTGGTGAAATTATTGTTCTTCGAACAATCATTCATGATTGGGTGAATAGAAAGGAAAACCATGGAATTGACAAAGGGATTTGGATTGTATAGGATGATTTTCATCCATTCCTTTCTTTCTTTTATGTTCTGTATTTAAATATTTCACTTTCTTTCACTCATTCTCTTCACTTCTCACATCCTCTCTTTCTTCCTAAACAAAGCTTTCTTTGCTGTCCTCTATTTCTCTGTAAATTGAATCCCTTCTCCTTTGCTGTTCTTTCAGTTACTCGTTCTTCCACTGTACTTCTCTCTTTTCAGCATTAAAGTTTTGTATCTCTTTCTGTATTAAATGTTTGTCTTTCTCCCAAAATATTTCTTGACATTAAGCCTTTATCTCCTATTTTCTTCCCTCTTCTTTCATACCTTGATTCTTCTGCATTTTATTTCTACATTCTTTCTTTTTATCAGTATATCTAATTTTCTTCTTCTCCTCTTCTTCTTCTTCTTCTCTTGTATGGGCATTTTTCTTTGTTCTCAGTATTAACTCCAAATCTTAATTTTAAGGCTGTGTCATTATTTTACATTTCTCTTTGTTATTAATTTTTCTATACATTAAACCTGTTTGAGTCTTAGAAGAAATCTCTTCATTTCTCTATGATTAACTTCCTTTTTGGTACTTCATTTTCTCTCACCACAAAATCTGTGAATCTTTTTATGTGCCCACTCTCTCTGTAAACTCAATCTCTTATAATTTTGTTCACAAGTTTGACTCTCTAATTCTCTGTATAACTTGTCCGTTTTTTTGCCCCTCTTTACATTGTATTTCTCTTGAGAACTTCAAATGATAGGCATAATGTTTTTCTCACTATATATATATAATGCCTTACTGATTTGTTTTCTATTTGTACCCTATTTTTAATTTCTATTCAAAACCGTAACTGAGACTCTTATTCTTTCAATCACTACATAGAACTTCTCTAAGGTTTTTGAACTTTTCTCTTCAATACATTTCTATTCAAGCTCTAACTGCTGTCTTTTGACACACAACCTCTCAAAGAATTTTCTGCTTTTCTCTTCAATACATTTCTGTTCAAGCTCCAACTCGCTTATCCTCTCTCTCTCTACACACAATCTTTCTAAGGTTTTTGATCTTCTCTCTTAAATATATTTCTATTCAAGCTCCAACTAACTCTCTTATCCTCTCTCTCTCTCTATCTATGCATACAAATCTAAGGTTTTTATGCTTCACTCTTTAAGATATTTCTATTCAATCTCTAACTAGTACTCTTATCCCATCTCTCTTCAATCCATTTATATTCGCAATCCTAACTCTCCTATTCTCTTTTTATATTACATTTCTATACACAACTACAACAGACTTACGGCCATTGAAACACCGGTTCTCATACAATCACTGAAGTTAGGCAATGTCAAGCCTGGTCAGTACCAAGATGGGTAACCGCTTGGGAATACCAGGTACTGTAACCTTGGATGTGTGGGTGGTGTAATGGATAATGGCTCAGAATTGTGAATCAGAGGGCCAGGTTCCAATTCCACTTGGGTTCATTATATGCACTTACATGCAAATATCCCTTAGAAAGGTATGAATCCACTTTTCTCCTCCCATTTATGAATTAATTAGTAAAATTAGTTTAGTATCCTTAAACCATTATTAACTCAAAAAAATTCTTGCAATCTAAAAATATTTTCTGGCTTTAAATAACCTTCAAAGATTTGATAAGACAATGAATCTACTAAACCAAACAGCTACAACAGACTCCCTTTCTTTTTTTTATACACCCTCTCTGAGGTTTTTTCTCTTTTTCTCTCCCTCTCTCTCTGAATTTTACTTTTGTTTATCATTCCAATTCTGTTCACATTTCTCTCTTTCTTTGCTTTCTTCACATCTGCTTTTTAAAGTAATGACTATCAAAGCAAATACACCTTCCCTCCACCTAATACTTTCTGCAAAGTATTGGCTGCCCTTCTGATTTAGTTCTTCCTATTGTAGGATTATTGCTCCAAGGTTATTCTTGACTTGAGTGATAGCCTGGCAAAAACTTGTTGACATTTTGCACTTCATTCCAACTGGTCTTCAATCCGCCATCATCTTCACCCATTTCCATTTTTTTGCTTTTAAGCTTTTCCCTTTTCTTTGAACACAGTAGGAAATCCATCACACACACACATACAAAGAAAACATTTCCATTTGCATATGAATTTTTGTGGGTGGAAGAAGAATTAGATTTTTTTGTTTTTAAATAATAAATGAATTAATATCCATTCTTCATTGAGTGATAGCTGCTATGTATCAAAATGGTTTAAATGGTGACCTGCAATCATTTATGCAGTTTATTAAATTTGGTAAAATACATTCATTTAAAAAAAATGACCATATATAGGATGAATTACAGTAGAAACCTTTTCTCTAGCTGTCAATTATATACTTGTACAACAATTTTCTCACACAATTTCTTAAAAGCAAACAATTTAACACATAAAAAAATAAAGAAACTATGCTTCCTGATGCTGATCAATGATGATTGAAAGCATTTGGAAACTGAATTTAGCATTCCTCTTCTTCAAACTGGACCCTGACACACGAAAGATTGCATGACAAATAGAAAGAATCCACAAAAAGATTATCAAAAGAAAATTTCTGTGGTATTTAATGACACATCTAAACAGTGATTTGCATCCAAGATATACAATATATATATATATATATATATATATATATATATAATCTTAACAGTTATTTGTCATATTTGATAAATATTCTTTGATATAAGCTGGACTTGTATTTCAATTACAGCCTTTTTTTTTTTCTTGTTGGGATTTCTCATCCAGGTATAAATTCTGCCCAACACACACATACATACACACACACACATATAATAAAAGTATAGTTTTAATGTATGCTATATTTCATGCTTAAAGTCAATCATCTGGCTATGACCTGATGATGGAGAATACTTATAATATCATCTGTAAATCTGATATTTACTAACCTGACATAAATTCAGCACAATACAAAATGGTCAACAGAAAGATTTCTAAGTCAGAAGTATCTGCTTACTTGAAAATTGGCATTAAAAATCCTGGGTTTGAACACTGACAACTCATGCAATGGGAAATAAGTAACTATCCTACCTATGGGATATTTAATCCTGAGCTGCAGTTATTGATCTTGGATTAATTCTGGAACAAGAGATAAGAATCAGTATTACTATCCTCCAAAAATTATAGTATGTTGTTTAAAAAATCTGAGATCAAATATTACCATTATTTTTTTCTACAACCTAAAACTCCATGGGTGCTGATAACTAAGATTATCCATTGTCTTGTCTCTATCATGTTTTTATCTATATGATATACTAATATAGATGAGTTGCAGAAAAGGATTAAAGAACGAACATATATTTTCTACATATACTCTTTTTATTGTTCTTCTGGTTCTCTCTCTCCATGATGAATTTTTACACCGATTTTATGTCTTTCAGTCTTTTGGTCAATGTCGTTTGATATCTAGCTAGCATTCTTGTCTCTCTTTTTTCTTTCTTCCATCACTATACCTTCCCCTGCTCTCTCTCTCCCTCTCCCTCTCTCTTTTTATATATATATATATATATATATATATATATATATATAAATTTTTAAATGGATATTTTTAATCTGATATTAATTTTAGTCAGTAAACATGTTTGAATTGACATCCCTGTCTTTTATTTTTTTTTTTAAGCAATGGAATTAATATCAACCAGCCTACATCAAGTCCGACTAAAGAAAACAATGCCTCCTGACAGGAATTGAACTTGTATCCCCTTATTTTCAAATGGTTTAAAAATTGTTAACAGCATGCTTCAGCTATAGGAGTTATTTCCCTAATGGAAAAAGGAGAATGTACATATATTTTCAGATAGTGAGCTTAGTTTATTTTTTGTATCAGGCCACAACCAGAAAAGCATGTCTAACTTACCATATGTTAAGGAACCTCTTCTTATGTATATTTAACTGACTCTTCCTTATATACCTCTGCTTTGAAAACAAAGGAATACTTACTGTCATGTACACCTGAGTAAAGTCAAAGAACACCTGCTGATTGATCCTCTACCTGTAACTTTTAACCTTATTATTCAGCTATATTAACGAATATTTCATTTTGCAGAGTTTTAACAATGGAGATAATTATCTTTCAAGACTACATTGGAGCAAATCTTCCTATTTGCAGAAGTGAAACAGAGTGCCTTCCTTTTTTTTTCTTTTTTTACAGACCATGTTGAAAGAAATTTAAATAACAGAAAGAATTACAAATGAACTTTGTGAAACACAGGGTCCAGTGCACTCATTTATCTAAGGACAAACTTGATCAACTTTTCACCTTATTAATAGAATATACATAGAAGCATCAAATGGCTTGAACAAATTAAGTTGAAGAAAAACATTACAATTACAGCTGATAGAACTACAGAAGTTCTGTTTGATATTTTCATACAAAATAATATATTTTGTACATTATTTTCATACATATTTAAGTACACTTTATAAGTCTGTTTACTTGTAAGCTTGTGTATACCTGCCTCTGCAGATAATAGCAAACTCTATACTGTGTTTTTCCAAAACATATTTTATGTGCCATGCCCTGAAAGGGAGTGGGTGATTATGGCTCACCACAACTTCCTATATTTTGGTATTGTAATACAAGGTGTTATTCATGTTTATTAAATGCTTTTGGTTAATCTATAAATCATCAATACAAATCTTTCTGCACTTGTATTACTTACTCATACAGCATTCTAATAAAAAATTGCATTTCTTGTTTCAGTATCTTGAGCCAAGTTGCACACTTCTTACCCTATTTTAGTCTAATTATCCTCCAAGCTCTATTTCCTAAACAGCTATACCTTTAATAAAGTTTAATTGACAAATTAAGCAAAATAAGACATTAACAGTACTTAATAATAAAATACTACAACTGTGACAATATGCATTAATAAAAGTTATGTGTCTGAAAGAAGATTAATTCTTACCATAGATAAATTGATAATAATCTTAGGTTTAGCCATTTTCTTTTATGTTTCTTATTAAGTTGAAAATTTTCCACTTTTCACTGAAAGAAAGCACTTTGCAATTTCTCTTTGGCATGTTAAAATTGCTAATATCACTTGTGCCTTAGGACCATTATTAATTAAAACTTATGAAATTGCTTATATCTGGAGTTGACTGTACGTAACTGGATAATGAAACCAAGGATAAAGTTAGACAACTGTTCCCACATTTATGTATATGTAAGTATTTGTATACAGAGATATTATTAATGAATAAAATTCATTATATTCTAAGTGGTATCTAATTCAAGCTTGTTGACCATCCTTCGATGGAGGTGCCCAATATGTTTACTTAGCTGAGTCTGGCACATGTCCACAATAGTAAGCATCTTCCATTTAGTTTCAGACTTGAATTCTATCTCTGAGACAAAGAAGTACTCTTGAGATACAGTATATTTTAATATTGTGTTTCATTAACAGTTATTTTAAATGCCGACAAGGTAAAAATAAAATTCAATTCACAATGTTACATAAGGCCTGAGAACTAAATTAATCTGGGCATTAGGAAGTAATCTTGCTCAGATATAAAGTGATCACTTAATGTTCTTAATCAAATTCTATTAAGGATTCCCCACTGACAGTCATATTAGTGAAGTTATAGATCTAATATTACAGGGACAAGATTGAAATAAGCCTTCCAATTATATATTTGCATTAGTTTGAATTTACACCCCAAGTGATTACTTCAGCCAATCAGATTACAACAAATTATCTATTTTCACAAATCAAGTTATATTTCAAGATTCTACCTTTGGCTTTGGCATTCCTTTTTCAGCTCAGTATAAATATGCTTATTTTGCTTGTTTTACAAGAAGATGAATTTATTGAATATTATATGGTATCCAGGCAGTAATATGTGGACTTGGCTAGTCAGAGTGAAACTTTGTGCTTGCTTCAGTTGCTTGTCATTTTCCATGAGAATATACAATCAAAAGTTATATTATTGGGACAATTTTCTGAGCATAAAAGGATTTCATCTCAATACTGTACCATTTTTTAACAGGGAACAGTTAAATACAGAAAAAGTATATTCATCTCAAGTTTCAGGTTATCATTTTCTTAAAAAAATCATGTATCCACTATATATATATATATATATATATATATACAATTTATTAAATTAAAAACCATAAAGACATTTATTAAATAAACCAGCATGCAGACTATAAAAACTAACACCAGAAAAATAACCAAAATATTTATGGAACTAAAGACAAATACTCAATATAAACCATGGAAAAATACAAAAGAAACTAGCAATTGATTCAACAATATTACAAACAAAATCAATTACTCTTTTATACAATTAGATATAAAAGATTTTTATCCATCTATTACTAAGCATATATTATATGAAACATTAAATTTATTAAAACA